AGCGCACCGGGCCCTCCCCCGCCACGACCTTCTACAGGGGACCCAAGGCGCGCACGGGGCCCCTTTATTTGAGCAGGAAAAGCCAAGGATGGCGAAGTCTGGGACCCGGGAAGACATGGAGGGAGCCCTGGGCTAGATTGTCAGATGCAGGCCTTGGACTCTCCCGTGGGTACTAAAGATGCCACCCACTTCAGAGTTAGAAGGCCCAACACATCCACCGGAGTCCTGGACTCCTGTTAGGGGACTAGAGTAACACCCGTTTATCCAAAGAGGGGCCCAGGTCCTGAACCCCATTCATATACACACGCCCCCTGAAAGGGCGCACCCACCTCCTCTCCCCGGCCCATTCCGGGGCCTGCTGCACGGTCTAATCTGGAGGCCCTCGGGGGCCCACAGCTGCCATCCCAGGCCCCACCGAAAGCTCCTCCAGGCTGAGCCATTCTTTGGCGGCAGCCCCACCAGCCTCCTCTGGCTCCTCCCTCGCCTTCCCAAATCGCTCCGGCCAGAAGCAGACTCGCTGCGCACCTGGCGGCTGCCCTTCGAGCACCCAGGGCCTGTCCTAGGAGACGCACCCCGCCTCCTGCCCGGGGGCACAGAATCCCACCCGCCTCAAGCCCTGAGGTCCGGCTCCCAGCCTCCCAGTCCCTGGGCATCCAGAGTCTGCAGGGCGGGCCGGACCGCTGGGCCGCCCCTCCCACTCTCCTCTCCTTTCTCCCTAGGAAACCACTGAGCACAAAGGCAGTATTGATTCCCCGCCACCCCCAGCGGCTCCCGGAGGCTCCGCCACCTCGCCCTCCCCGCACCCTCGCGAGCGCCTTTTCCCACAGTCGGCCTGGGAGACGGAGCCCACCGCGGGCTCGGTCGGGTGCCCGGACTGCAGGCCTCACCTTGGGGCCGCCGCTGGGTCTCGGCCTCAGGCCGGGAGGCGCTCAGAGCCCGGGGGAGCAGCTTCCTCTCCAGCTTGCTCCCCCAGCCCAGGCCTTCTGGGAGGAGCTGGCAGGGGCCGCCGTTGCCTACGTACGACCTCTTTTCCTGGATAAACAGCGCCCTGTCTCTGTGACCATCAGCCTGGCCTTAACTCCTTCCTCCAGCCAGGTTTGTAACAGCAAGCCTGCCCTGTTAATAATTGCATACATAAATCACAGGAGAAAAAATGTGATCAATGCTATAAAGGACAAGTATGGGGCGCTGTGAAACTGTACAGCGGAAGCCCCTAATTTATATGCCAGGGTGTCAGGGTCACCAGATCTGAAGGATGAGGGGCAATAATGATCCAAGGAGAGAGCCCATACAAAGATCCTAAGGAGGAAATGAGCTTGATGCCTTTGAGAGCCTGAAGGATGGTGGTTATGCCTGGGGTGCAGATGCTGGGCCTGGGCTCCTTGGGAGTTGGGGAGGGCTTCAGGGGAGAGGGAGGTGGCCATCAGGGTGCAGGGAGGTGAGCCCATAGCCACGGCCACACACATCACATCTGCAAAGCCCTCCTTGCTGGAATCTTGCCTTGGATTCCATTGTCTTGTTCTCCCAGACAGTGACTTGTAGTGACTAGTTCTCTGAATTTTATTGGCCCAAGGAAAAGTGACCAGGCTCAAGATTGATGGACATAGGCACTGAGGACAGAGCTGGTTCCATCGTGGTCCAGGGCAGGCTTATCTGTGCGCCCCTCCCCCATCCTTGGCAAAAGGCAGTTAAACATAAACACGGAGGATGTCCCCTCCTATCCCCATAGGCAGGTCCTAGGAAGCACAGCCCACCACTGGCAAAATGAGGCCCTCAACTTGCACCCCCGGCATGCCTACCATCCTTCCGTATCTCAAAGGCATCAAGCTCATTTCCTCCTTAGGACCTTGGACCATCATTACCCCTCATCCTTCAGATCTGGAGGCCCTCTCTGACACCCTGTCATATAAATTAGGGGCTTCTGCTGTACAGTTTCACAGCGCCCCATACTTTTCCTTTATGATCACATTTCCCCCCCCTGTGATTTATGTATTTATTTACTATCTTACTAGACTGTAAGCATCACGAGGACAAGACAGATATTCAGTCAGGATTTGTTGAATGAATTCATGATATTAAGCAGATTTGTACCTGAATCAGTTCATTCCTTCATTCACTGTACTAGATGCTGGGGATAGATAGAAAGGGGAGGAGTCTAAGGGGAGAGACATTCAATAAATGTGCAAACAACAATAACAAAAAAGACTGGGAAATGCAGGAAATAAACAAGATGATTATTTTAACATCTGATACTTGAGAGTTTAGAGGAAGCAAGCATTTCTTTTGCGGAGATTCATGGCAACCCCCCCAGGCCCTCCATTCCTGTGGCTCCTGACTCAGCTCAGCTTGGGTGTCGTGTCTGGGAAGGGTGGTCTACATGCAGCGCTGTGGCCAAGAACTCATGGCTTTGGCATCAGTCAGACAGGCTGGGATGTGGGCTGTGTGACATGCTGTCTGTGCCGTGTGACTGCTGATAGGTAACTTCATCTTTCTAGGGCTCACCTTACCCATCTGGAAAACGGAGAGAAATATACCTAACTCGCAGAGCTGGCGTGAGGATTACATGAGATCACATGGGCATCAGTTAAACTGACTTCTGCAAAAGTGTAAGAAAACAGAAGCCCCGACTCCATCTGACCTAACAATAAGGACATTTTTGGCTTCTATAATAAGTCCAGAGGTAGGGTAAGATTCAGGGGAGTTTGGTTCTGTGGCTTCATTCATTCATTCATTCATTCATCAATAGTTCTTTGCTACCTTTTTAAAAAAATATATATTTTATTGATTTTTTACAGAGAGGAAGGGAGAGAGACAGAGAGTCAGAAACATCAATGAGAGAGAAACACCAATCAGCTGCCTCCTGCACATCTCCCACTGGGGATGTGCCCGCAACCCAGGTACATGCCCTTGACCGGAATCGAACCTGGGACCCCTCAGTCCGCAGGCCGACGCTCTATCCACTGAGCCAAACTGGTTTCAGCTCTTTGCTACCTTTTGGGGGAAGGCACTGTGCTGGACTCTGGAGACATAGCAGTGAGAAAACAGAGAATTCTCCTGGCCAGATGGAGTTTATACTTTAGTGGGGAAAGAAAGAAAATAGACAAAAATAAATCAGTAAAAAAATCATTAATTAAATGCAAATCAGTGTTGGGGAGAAAATTAAAGTAGGGAAGGCTCATAGCGGGTATCAGGAGAGTATACAATTTTAAATAGAGTGGTCAGGCTGGCCCCCTGGAGAATGTAATGTTTCAGTAATGACATGAAGGAAGGGGGAGGGAAGGCGAGGGACAAGCATTCTATGAAGGGAAAATTGCAAGTGCAAAGGCCCTCAGGCAGAAGCATGCTGGAGTGTTCAAGGAGGCAAAGAGGCCAGTGTAGCTGGAACAGGATGAGTGAGGGGGAGATGAGGTCAGACACCAGTTGCCTTATTCACTCTTTCTCCTGGTACTTGACTCAGGCACCTGAAGAACACAGCACAGCCGCTGCTTCCAGCAGAATTAGCTGCCACCTTTGCCTGGATGGCCTATTGCAGTGGTCGGCAAACCGCGGCTTGCGAGCCACATGCGGCTCTTTGGCCCCTTGAGTGTGGCTCTTCCTAAGCCTTAGGAGTACCCTAATTAAGTTAATAACAAGGTACCTACCTATATAGTTTAAGTTTAAAAAAATTGGCTCTCAAAAGAAATTTCAATCGTTGTACTGTTGATATTTGGCTCTGTTGACTAATGAGTTTGCCGACCACTGGCCTATTGGATCCCACCCCATCTGCCTCGGCAGCAGTTGCCTCCCAGATGAACGCGCTGGGCATGGGGATGGGTGTTTGGAGTGTGGAGGCAGCAGCTCCCGTTGTTTCAGCCTAGAAAGCTGCAGTACGTGGCCTCTTGGGAGAGCAGAGGCAGCTGTCAAAGCCCTAGACCAGGGGTGGGCAAACTTTTTGACTCGAGGGCCACAATGGGTTCTTAAACTGGACCGGAGGGCCGGAACAAAAGCATGGATGGAGTGTTTGTGTGAACTAATATAAATTCAAAGTAAACATCATTACATAAAAGGGTACGATCTTTTTTTTTTTTAGTTTTATTCATTTCAAAGGGGCCGGATCCGGCCCGCGGGCCGTAGTTTGCCCATGGCTGCCCTAGACACTAAGAAGTGTTTCAGAGGCTGATGACCTTACTTCCCTTACCAAGATCCCCGCCTGCCCACCTGGCCTTGTCCAGTTACGGCTGGCGCCCCGCCTGGCTGTGAGCCTTGCCCGAGAGCCTCTGCAGATTTCCAGCTCGGGCCTGTTTCTCTTAGAAAATGGCCCCGGCAGAGAAGTGCCAGGACCCATTCAACCTACTTTAATATGGAAACTGAAGTATAACTGTTTTGTTTTTTCTTCGCTGCACAATGAAGGATGGAATATATTTCCCTTCTTTTCTTGGGAGTGTTAAAATGAAGATCAGGGCCGGTTTGGCTCAGTGGATAGAACATCCGCCTGCGGACTGAAGGGTCCCAGGTTCCATTCCGGTCATGGGCACATGCCTGGGTTGTGGGCTTGATCCCCAGTGGGGGGCGTGCAGGAGGCAGCTGATCAATGATTCTCTCTCATCATTGATGTTTCTATCTCTCGCTCCCTTTCCGTCCTCTCTGAAATCAATAAAAATATATATTATCATGTATTTGGTATGCAATGATTTAGACTCTGGGTTTAACAGATTATCAAGGGCAACTGTGAAAGCACACAAAGAGAAAGGGGTTTTTATTGAGTATATGGGGCAGGGGGAGAGTTTTTTGCCACACGGGTTTTGGCTATGGCCCAAACCCTGTTAAGGCATCCTGTTGCCCATCAGACAGAGTTCAAGCTCACAGCAGGGTTTATGAAGCCTCTGTGGCCTGCCTTTGTCCCTGCCCCCTCCTCTTTCCTTCAATGCCTACCCCATTCTGTGTATTCAGCTCCTGGCCTGTGGTTGTGCATCTCAAGGCCAGGGGTCCTGTCTTTTCATTGCTGTGTGCTCGGTGCCTCACGTAGCGCCTGGTGCTTGGCAGGGGCTCAGCAGATCTCTTCCGTGATTGACCGGAAGTTGGGTGTGTGGGAGGCCCTGGAAGGATTTTCATTTCCAACTACAAGAAGGGTCTTGAGCTGAAATGGGGCCGAGAGACTTTATTTGCTCAGAGGAAAGTGCCCCCTCCTTCACCTCATCAGTGGATTCCATGGGGAGCCCTCCCTGCCCCGTGGGGGGGTCCCAAGCAGGCAGAACAGTCAGAGGTAGGCTCTCCTGTTACTCCTGTTCCAGCTGCAGCTGAAGGAAAACACCTGGAAGAGAAAGAAGGGCGAGTGGGAGGCAGGCGTGAGGGCCGAGATGGCAGGAGCTTGGTGGGGTGCTCTGAGCATTTGCATCTAGTTACCTGGAATCCTGTCCTGTGGTACAGGTTGGGCAACTCACACATAGGAAATAAAAAAGAATCCTATGTCCTAACCGGTTTTGCTTACTGGTTAGAGCACCAGCCCGCAGACTGAAGGGTCCCGCCTTCGATTCCAGTCAAGGGCAGTATCTCGGTTGTGGGCTCGATCCCTGGCCCCGGGTCCAGGAGGCAACCAATTGATGTGTCTCTCTCACATTGATGTTTCTCTCTCTCCCTCCTCCCTCCTTTCCACTCTCTCTACAAATTAATTAATTAATTAATTAATTAATTAATTTAAAAATCCTAGCTGATCTCTCCCTCACTTCCCCTGTGTCTACAGCAGGCGCCCAATCCCAGGCAGAGAAGCTGGAGCCCTGAGTGGGATTGGATCCTGAGCCTCCTTTCTTCCATTTGGCCCGGGGGACGGTGGTGGCAGGACAGGGCCTGGGCCTGAAGGAGCCCTTTACCTGAGGACTGAGGACTTGGCATAGACTGTCTTCTGGTCTCTGGTCTGGGTGATGCAGGACATGTAAAGCTTCTGGTCCTCAATCTTGTCCACACAGCCAGTGAGCCCACGGGGATCAAGCTGGGAGAGGAGTTGGCTTAGCCCATCCCTCCCGTGGACCCCCGGCCCTCAACCCTCAACCCTTCACCCTCCGTCCCCCCATCCTTCTCTTCACCCCCCCCCCCACCTCAAGCGGGTGGCTCTGGGCTCAGGGCTGGCCTGCCAGCTCCCAGAGCAGATGGCGGGGGTGGTTTTCTGGCAGCGGGTGGGGAAGGAGACTAAGGCAGGGCTCCTGCACCCCAACTGCCGAGGATGGCCATCCCTCAGTGACGAAGAGGGCCATGACTTTGGCCAACACCGTGAGGCTCTGTACAGTACTTACTTTTTGAACCTGATGCTGAGGCTTAGTGTGAACAGCCCCTCTCCAGCCAGGTAGGCAGTTTTAGAAAAGGTCTCATCCATCATGGTTGCCAGGGACCCTCCGTGGGCAAACCTGGGGTGGGGGTGGGAAGCAAGGCAGGGCTGTGGGCTGGGCAGACTGGCTCCCTGGGCCTTCCCCGGACCCTGAGGTGGAACCACCACCTCTGCCTTTCCCAGGAAAGGAAAGGGAACGGAGCTGGATCCCATCTGATCAAATCCTCCTCAATCAACTGTTGCTTCTGCAGGTATCAGCAACCATGTACAATTATTTCATTTCACCAGGAGAAAAGGTTTTGTGTGTTGTTTTTCCCTAATAGAGTTCATCGAAAAACATTTTTCCGATTCATCACCTAATTGCTGTAACCTATCTCTCCTCATTGTCTAGGGGTTGGGTGGGTGCTTGTGAGACAATAGAAAATATATAGATTGGTCTCTGCCCCCAATTCCTGGCACAGAGCTCCTGAAACCCTTGTAATTTCCGGGGGGAGGGTGGGGGGGGGGCGGATCCTTTGTCAGACAGATGGCTCCTGGATGGGGGCTGGGCACCAGAAAGACCAGGCCAGGACTGGACGCTTGCAGTTTTCAGTACTGCCCCCATTCTCTTGAGAAGGGAGAAGGACTGAAAATGGAGTTAATGATCAATCTCGCCTACGTGAGGAAGCCTCCATCAAATCACAAACGTGTGGAGTTCAGAGGGCTTCCAGGTTGGCAAACACACTCACACCCGGAGGGAGGGTGGCGCACCCACTTCCACCGAGACAGAAGCTCCTGCGCTCGGGGCTCCACACGCCTCTTCATCTGGACGCTCACCTGGATTCTTTGTCCTCTCCTTTACTGAACTGGTAAACCTGTTTCCCTGAGTTCTCTGAGCTGGTCTAGCAAATCAATCAAACCTGAGGAAGGGGTTGTGAGAACCTCAGGTTTGTAGCCAAATCAAACAGAAGTTGTGAGGAACCTGGGGACCTACTAGTTGGGTTTGGGGTCTGACGTGGGGGGACACTCTTGTGGGACTGAGTCCTTAACCTGTGGGGTCTGACGCTATCTCCAGGTCAGAACTGAGTAAAACTGTAGGACGCCCAGCTGGTGTCCCAGAGAAGTGTTTGGTGTGGTCACACATTTGGTGACCAGAAGTATCAGAAATGAAGTGTTCTGTGTGAGTAGCACACAGGAAAGAAAGAAGAAAGAAGGAAAGAAGGAAAGAAAAGAAAGAAAGAAAGAAAGAAAGAAAGAAAGAAAGAAAGAAAGAAAGAAAGAAAGAAAGAAAGGAGGAAGGAAGGAAGGAAGGAAGGAAGGAAGGAAGGAAGAAAGGCACAGTAGAGAAGAGCTGGGTGTTTTCCTGCACAGAGGCAGACTGAACTGGGTTTTTCTAATTCAGTAATAATCTCTTCTCTGGATCCGCCCAGTGTTGGATGGTCCTCCTTGGCCTCTCCTGCCCCACCTCCATGAGCCCTTAAATAAAAGCCAGTCACCACCACCACCCCATCACTGCCTTCTTGAGGTTTTCAGAAGGGAGGAGATCCTGACCTAGTCCTCCAGTGTCTGCATGCACTAGGGTGGGAACCAGTGTCTCCATGGAAGGTGCCTTTGGGATGGCCTAGAGCAGTGGTCGGCAAACTGCGGCTCGCGAGCCACATGCGGCTCTTTGGTCCCTTGAGTGTGGCTCTTCCACAAAATACCACGTGCGGGCGCGCGTGTACAGTGCGATTGAAACTTCGTGGCCCATGTGCAGAAGTTGGTATTTTGCCAACTTCTAGCCTAGGGGACAGAGGGCTACAGTCTGAACTCACCACCTATGCAGGTGCTGGCATCTACTAAACTCTCTGAATTCTTTTTAACTACAACTGAGTCCTTCTCAGGTCTTGGGACCCTACAGCTGCTCCTTATCCCTCCTTCTCTCTCTCCTTGCAGGAGCAGGGATGGGGAAGGCAGCCAACTGTGGACTTGGTGGGTCAGTGGCCTTCGGCAAGACATACTTATGTCCAGAGTGAGTTCTTTCCTGGCTCTCTTCCAAGCTTGGAGGCAGCAGAGTACAATGGAGAGAGCATTGGACTTGGAGCCCCAGTGCCTGGACTAGAGTCCTGCATCTGACCTTGGCTGCCTGTGCTACCTTGGGCAAGTTGCCTCAGTTTGCTGGTGGATAGATGGTGTGTGACAGCTAGATTGTGCTTTATGGTTCATGAGCACATACACACAGACCCTCTCTGGAAGGTATATATCCTTGCCCCAGGTTTTAGGTAAGGAGATAGAAAGCCAGAGGTTAAATTGCTTGCTTGGGGTCCCGTGGCCAGCAGCGGTAGAGTAGGACTGGAAGCCAGGCTCCTGATTCCAGATCTTGTCCACTTCTAAGTTCACCACATCCCTCTCAGAGCGGCCTCTAAAATCCCTTACTGGAAAATTCCCCGACTCAGCAAGGAGGTTCTCTGTTATCTTCACAATAGGACTGGACCTGGTGACCCGGATGTCCTTCCAGTCCAGGGCACCCCCCACCCAGCTCCTTAGGGAGAGGAACAATCCCCGATCCACCTGCTGAGCCAAGGCTAGGAAGCAGCCAAGGACGTCCACCTCAGCTTCCTGATGGTCTTACCCTGGGGCCCCCTCCAAGTAGGGGCCTGGTTGGAAAAGACAGACGGACTTCTTCTCAGATGGGTTAAAAAAGATGGCATGTTCGTAGCCTTGCCCTTCCACTTGGAGGCTCCTGGTGATGATGCGGCAGTCACTGTTGTCTGGGGAGAGATGAGCAGTGTGGCAGCTGGAGCAGGGAGTGCGTGAGGGCATGGGGCCCGCTCAGGGTGCAGCGCTGGCCATGCAGCACCCGGGTTGTCCTGAGTCAGGCACAGGGTCCAGGAGAGAACCAGAGGACAGCCAGGCTCCACCAGCCGAGAGCCTTCCATCTGAGACCAGAGGCACAGCCCTGTCCCCAGGGAGCCCTTGGTCTGGAGGGAGAAACACTCAGGAAGGTCCCTGGTTGGGGATGGGGATAGGGCCAATGTCAGGTGAAGACTTTAACAGACTTTAAACAGTAAAAAATAAAAAAAACACAACTCATGACATTCGCATATAGTAATTCAAAATAACAACAATGCTAAACAGCAAAATAAGTGCTGAAAAGTCCACCAAAACTCTGACCTTTTCCTTCCTTCAAGACAACTACAACTATATCCTTTTCGTATGGATACCAAATTCTTTTAAAAATTATTTTGGTGTCCCTGCTTTTTTTGTGCCATAAACCCAAACGGTCGTCTTTGTTCTGTACTGTGTACATTCATCACTGGGCAGGAAAATCATATTTATGAATGAGCGAGACAAGAAAATACGGACACACACGTACAAGGAAGATGGAGGTGAGAAGCTCTGTCAATCTGACTGGTGGGCGTTTCAGGAGAGCCGGCCTGGGTCTAACAGAGCATGGACGGTGGGCCAGGCCTGCGGTGGGAGACCGGCCCCCCAAAAAACTTTTTGAGTTGGGGGAGGAGGATTTGGGATGAGGCAGGGCAGAGGCTCAGCAGGCAGTTCTCCAGTGCGGCCGCTAGGGTGCGCTCTCTTTTCAGATGGGAGAGAGGATACCGTCACTGGCAGCCTGGGGCGGCAGCAAGGGGGGTGAGATTAGCAGAAAGAACTTCCGGCTGAGAATTGGATGGGAGCTTTTTGGTTTCCTTCCCCAGAATCTTTGAACGCAGGGAAAGGGGCTGGCTGAACCGACTCCCGTGGGCTGGGACACCTGTGCTGCTGTGACCACTCAGGCCAGGCCTTACCCGAGGTAACTGCTAATCCGGTTGGGAGTTTGAGCCCCTGGATGTGTTCTCTGTTGGACGCGAAGGAGGGCAGTTTGATCCAGCCGTCGGTCTTGGTCTTCTCCAGAAATTCCTGGTACAGGCTCAGCATGTCGGGACACCAGCTGGCATTGGGAAGGGCATAATCCTTAAAGTCTGTCTTCTCTGGGCAGAATCTTGAGATCTGGGTACGAAAAATCAGGGAGACTAGACAGCTAGCTTCCTGGGGGTGGGGTGGGGGGGGTGGGGGGGGACTGCTGCTTGGGCTGCAGGACTTCTGGGCAGTGTGCGTTCTTGGGTTCCTTAGTCCCCTTACCAGTGTTGACTCGAGGGAAACCTTCCTTGCGGTGGGGGCGGGGGAGTCACCCTGTGGGTGACTGGGCAAGGGAAAGAAAGGAATTGGGGCCAGAACCGGTTTGGCTCAGTGGATAGAGCGTCGGCCTGTGGACTGAAGGGTCCCGGGTTCGATTCCGGTCAAGGGCATGTACCTGGGTTGCGGGCACATCCCCAGTGGGAGGTGTGCAGGAGGCAGCTGATCATGTTTCTCTCTCATCGATGTTTCTAACTCTCTATCTCTCTCCCTTCCTCTCTGTAAAAAAATCAATAAAATATATTTTAAAAAAAAGAAAGGAATTGGGGCTGACAGTAAGGGAAGGGCATACTGCTAGTGCTTTGTGCATTACAATTGTCCTGTTTTAAAACCCGCGAGCTGGGAAAAAAAAAAAAAAAAAAAGCCGAGAAGCTGCAGGAGCTGAGCCGCGAGCTGGAGCCGCCAGAGTAATGGAGGGGAAAGTCCCAGTCACATCTCTGAGAAGCGATCGGTGAAGAAGCTGCAGACCTCCCAACAAGGCCTACAAGATCTCCAAGTTTGGACTTGCCATAGTAGTCAGACAGCGAAGAAAACCTCAGCCATCTCCCTCAAACTTAGAGCAAGTAAACCTGGAGAAACTGTTCCAACCCTTTCGGTGGTAGCAGCAGCTTTTAATGAAGATGAAAAGAGCGAAGCAGAGGAAGTGCCTCCGGAAGCAAAGATGAGCATGAAGAATGGAAGGGGTAGTCCAACCTCAGCAGGACCGAACCCCTTTAATAAAGGAAAGCGTGGGTTTTCTGGTCACTGGCAGAGATGGGAGTGAAATATAAACTCTCATATTTGGAAATGTCCATGACCAAGACAATTAAATGATATGGAAAGTTTGAAATTAAAAAATAAAAGAGTGCAAACCCGTGAGCTGTTCTTTGAGACTGTGAAATGCTAGTATTAGCCCCCCCCCCCCCCCCCGTAGAAATGGGGAAACGGAGGAAATATGGCTAAGGCTGCCAAGCTTGTGAGTGTGAGAGCTGGTGGTCAGACTAGAGCCCATTCTGAGAGACTGTCAGGGGCCACTCCAGCTCTGCCCACAGCTGTGGGCCTGCCCTGGCAGGGTGGCTCCTTTGAAACATGTTTTGGGTGCCCGGAGAGGTGCGGTACAAACTGTGGGACGAGGGGTCTCCCATGGCCTCAGTGCTCATGCACCAATCACAACGGGGGGCTTGCCAAGACCACTCACAGGGTCCTCCGTCTGGGGACGCCCCACCTCCCCTGCACCAGTCTGAGTCTCATAGGAGGAAAGTGATTTCATTGGTGGCCACACCAAACTCAGACCAGGACGAAAGTTTTGGATGTAGGCTACTTGGTATTCCAAGAGCGTCCTCCCTTTGCCAAATCAAATAGCTCCCCAACACCCTGCCCACCTGCCCCAGCCACAATCAGGGAGAAGATTTGCCAAGGCCCCCAGGAGAAAGGCTGTCCATCTAGCTGAGCTGGGAACTCACCCGGGAGTCAATGGAGGATCCGAAGGCCGCGGTGGGGTTGAGTATGGGCAGGATGCGGGGTGCACCAGGAAGGGCTCTGAGGCGGCTGAGTGTGGCTGCCGCTTGGAAGCCTCGCCTCATCATGGCTGAGCACGGGGATCTGGTCTGCAGGGCTGCTGGAAGCTCAAGGTGAGAGCACTTTTCATCTGCCCCCTGGGCTGTGGGTGCAGCCAGCTCTCAGCCAGGCCTCTCTCCTTTCTGTCGCAAAGCTTTCATCAGCAAGCTTCCAGGGAAGGTGATTGGACAAGACCAAGCTGGTTTGAAGCAACACCCATCTGTGTTTGGGGCCTTAGATGGCCCCAAGCCCCACCCAGATGCTGCCTGGGCACGAATGCAAAGCAGGACAGGCTTGAGTTCAGAAAGAAATATTTGTTAAAGAAGCAAAAAGTGCATAAAAAAATAATGTAGGGTATGTGGAGACTTGGAGAGCTGCCCTGGAGTTTGGGGAGAGAACCCAAGAGAATTCCCAGAAAGATATGGGAGGGTGTCTCTTTTTTAAATTCTTAATTTTTTTTTTTTATTGATTTCAGAGAGGAAGGGAGAGGGAGAGAACAATAGAAACATCAATGATAAGAGAAAAATCATTGATCGGCTGCCTCCTGCACACCCCACAGTGGGGATTGAACCCACAACCCAGGCCTGTGCTCTGGCTGGGAATTGAACTGTGACCTCCTGGTTCATAGATCCAAGTTCAACCACTGAGCAAGGCCAGCCAGGCTGGGATGGTGTCTATTGAGTGTAAGACAGTGATGGCGAACCTTTTGAGCTCGGCGTGTCAGCATTTTGAAAAGCCCTAACTTAACTCTGGTGCTGTGTCACATATAGAAATTTTTTGATATTTGCAACCATAGTAAAACAAAGACTTCTATTTTTGATATTTATTTTATATATTTAATGCAATTTAACAAAGAAAAATCAACCAAAAAAATGAGTTCGCGTGTCAGAGGTTCGCCATCACTGGTGTAAGGTTCTGGTGGCGCATCTGTGTATGAGGGTGTGTTTACATGGCCTGTGTGCCAGAAGCTGTGTTATCAGTCTGGGACTCAGAAAACCAATGCACAGGCCTTAGCCACCCCCTTTTATCCCAGACAAGGAAAGCCTCCTCCTGCTGGTCCTGGCAGGGATAGGTGGGGTGGAGGCGAGGACAAAAAACCATATGGGCCCTAACTGGTTTGGCTCAGTGGATAGAGCGTCGGCCTGCGGACTGAAGAGTCCCAGGTTCGATTCCAGTCAAGGGCATGTACCTTGGTTGCGGGCACATCCCCAGTAGGGGGTGTGCAGGAGGCAGCTTATCGATGTTTCTCTCTCATCGATGTTTCTAACTCTCTATTCCTCTCCCTTCCTCTCTGTAAAAATCAATAAAATATATTAAAAAAAAAAAAACACCATATGGGAGGAAGCAGCTTAGCAAGGCCACTCTGTGCTTTGGGAACCCCAGGGAGGGGATGGTGGCAGCAGACAGTGCTGGGAGTGAGGGGGGGGAGGGAGCAGGGCAGTGGAAAAGAGGCGGCTTGGAGTGGAGGAGGGGGGAGGAGTCTCAGCCAGCATCTGCAAGGCTGTGGACTTTTTTGGTGGTGCTTCTTTTTTGAGTTAAAACTGCCAGTTTCTACTTCACTAGAATAAAGCAAATTCTACAGATCAGAACTGTGCAAAGGCGGAATGATAATAATGATGATGATATTTTGGTGCCTGAAAGGCTAAACTGATATAATGTGGACATTTAAAGGTTTTGTCCCTAGAAGACTAGGATAGATTTCCCTCACCTCGTATGAGCCTCTGATGAAACTTTGTTAAGGACTGGAGGAACCAGGTTTTTCTTGTTCCTCGCCCAAGGAAATTTTCCCTTTGATTTTTAGAGATAATGGAAGGGAGGAAGAGAGACACAGAGGAAAAGAGAGAAAAACATCATTGTGAAAGATAGACATCAATTGGCTACCGCCCACTCACGCCTGGAGGGGGGCGGGGGCAGGGATCGGAACCTGCAACCCAGGTACATGTCATTGACCAGAATCAAACCCAGTAACCTTCAGTCTGTGGGCCAATGCTCTATCCACTGAGCCAAACTGGCTAGGGGAGGAACCAGTTTTTTGATAGATTTGGGTTCTGGGCCTAACCAAAAATATGTGCATTAGTCATCAACATTTAAAAACAGAGAGTTTCATACAGAGCAGAAGGTCAAAGATCTCCAGATAAGTGGAAAGGTCTGGCAAGGGTGTATCTTCATTCCTGTGTGGCAGCAGCTGGTTAGAGCTGACGCCCTGGGCCCTCTGGTTCACCCCAGGCCCCCCGCCCCCCCCAGTACTGAGCATTCCTTCATCCCCTCTGCCAGCCTCTATGTGAGATTATATATATATAATGGTACTTTATTCTCCAGAGCAAACATGTCAAACTCAAAGGCTAACATGGGCCAAATAAACAAGGTTTATGTGGGCCGCAAAAAAACAAAAGTTTCAATTTTCATAGAAACGTAGGTTTATTTAGAAAAGTATAGTATTATAAAAAAGAAAAAGAGCAATGATAAAATTAACGTTTTCTTCCTGACACTTGGCCTCTCTTCTCTGCTACTATCCTTCTTACTTCAGGGGAAATCTTGTTCGCAGTGATTACTTTCAAAACGGACCCAAGGTGAATGTCAATAAGGATCTGACAGGAGACTTATTTCCTTTCATAATTGTAAATAACTGCTCACACCATTATATAGGCTGGGCCGCAAAAATATTCGTTGTGGGCTGCAAGTTTGACATGCTTGCTCTAGACCAGTGGTTCTCAACCTTGGCTGCACATTAGAATCATCACCTGGGAATCTTTTTAAAATCCTGATTTCTGGGCCTCATCCTCTGGAAATTCTGTATCTTTGTTACTAATGTTGTGGCCCCACTCCATAACAAAGAAACAGAATTTCCGGAGGATGAGGCCCAGAAATCAGGATTTTAAAAAGATTCCCAGGTGATTCTAATGTGCAGCCAAAGTTGAGAACCACTGCTCTAGAGTGATACTGCTATGGTGGGTGTTATGGACCAATGTTCGCGAGAGTAAGGCCACCAACTCCAATTAGGTCTTAGCAGCAAGCGAGGATTTATTGAAAGCTGGCCAGAGTCTGCAACAGGTGCCTCCACACAGGGAGCCCCACCCTGCTGCAGCCCCGAGCCTTTCTCTAATAGCCTTTTTAAAGGGTGTCACAAACTCGACAGCGGCCAGCCAGTGCGGTGTCACACCTGGCTGGAGCTTTTAACCACAACCCATTCTTTGAGCGTGTCCGAGTTCCCGAAGTACAGAGGTGACATCAAGATACAGAGAATACAAACAAGTTACAAAAATTTTCTTTACGTCAAAGGTTACATATCTATACCCATTTCACTATATGACGCTAAGCGTGCATGCCCATCACAGTGGGTTGGGCTTGGGCCTATGTCCCCATATGCACAGAACTGAATACAGTGGGTCTCTGAGAAGAAGTCAGATTTACCTGGATGTGGAAAGGGAGATGAGCTTAGTCCTGTGCTGGCTCCAGTGGAATGCAGGGAGATAAGGCAGCTCTCAAGGTGGTTCCTCCCAGGTAGGGGATGCCTGCCGGGCTTGGAGCCTTCGCTACCACGTGTTCCCACTGGGCATCTGATATCTCCGAGCCCAGGCAGGAACCCCTGAGGCAAGCAGGCTTACTCCAGCCAATGTCCTTTTCACTGGCGCCACCTGTTCTGGCTCCACGGGAATAGGGCTGTGCTTGCTCAACGCTATAGCTCTCCCTCATCTTCATCCTCACTCTCTAATGGTGGTTCTGGCAAATGAAGCCCAGGGCCTGGATCGGATCCTGGATATTGGCAACTACATCTTCTCCATCCCCCATCGGAGCCAGTTCAGGATCTTGGTTCAGGGACTGGGAGGAGTCGCCAGCTGGGCCTGCCCCATTTTTCTCCTGCTCTTCCTCAGGCTCCTCACTGTTCCAATACCCAGTGCCTTCTGCAGGGCCCTGGTGCTGCCCCAGTTCCTCAGTCTGATTGGGGAAGATACGCTCACGGCCTATGGTGTCTCCCCTTAGAACAACTGCTACCATCCGGGCAGGGGCCGCTCAGAGCCCGCGTTCGAACCGGCACCTTCACTTCTAGCGGGGCAGCTGTGTGTGATTCTTGATTTGGAAGATGGGACTCAAGGAAGAGACAGGAGAGAAAGGGGGATCATAGAAAGGGCAGATGGACTGAAGAGGGGTCCAAGGAAAAGAGAGTGGGGAGGGGAGGGGCTCCACAGGGGCCCCTGAGGCTGGGAGCTGATCCCAGAAAGGTTGCCCAGGGCTGATACAAGGGCTGTTCTTCCGAGAGTCAGTAGCTGCAGCTGGGAAAGGGGATTCTGTTTCCTTGCCTCAGAGCCACGTGGGAGCTGCGTCATCAGCCTTGCACGACCAGACTTTCTTCGCAAATCATACATCCCAGGGGGATCTCCCTCTCTTGGCGCCTGACTAGAGGGAACTGTTGAGTTTGGGGGTTTCTCTTGCTGAGATATTATGCACCCCAACCGGGGATCAAACCCGTAACCTGGGTATGTGCCCTGACCGGGAATTGAATCCGCAACCTTTTGGTGTACTGGATGAACCTCCAACCAACCGAGCCACGTCAGCCAGGGCTGCCTCAGGGTTTTTGCTTCATCCAGTTTTTAAGGTTTTGGGTCTTGGTCGTGGGTGGAAAGTGTTAATGGGGAAGCTTGGGGAAGGGCGGAAGCACAGCTTCAGGGTAGCCCACATAGGGAAGCGGCTGTCTTCACCAAGCCTGGGGCCCAGGATGGAGGTAAGAATGTGGTTGCTAAGGGCTCTGCCCAGAGGGCCCCGGTGGCTGGGCTGGCAGGTACCCACCTGGGAGGACAGGGCTTAGGGAGGGCAGGGCTGATAAGCCGGTGTGATCGATCACTGGGCTAATGGAGGGGGTCCCAGCAGAGTACCGGGCAGAGAATGTGCCAGGACCAAGGGGACCCTGAGCTCCCCCTGGAAATGGAAGAACCCCTACCACAGCTCAACTGGAACTGAGTTCTTATTTGTGAAACACTAAGAGGCAGAGGCAAGACCTCTAAGCTCAGAAAGTAACAAATGCTGAAGGGTGTGTGTGTGTGTGTGTGTGTGTGTGTGTGTGTGTTTACACACTCAGGGTGGGGCTCATAGGCCCAACCCAGGCCTGAAATCCCCTTGTCTTCAACCCAGACAATCACTTGAGAGGTGGTTTCTCCAGACCAATGAGACGGCCACATGGTGCCAATGGCACACCTGCTTTACCAGCTTGGAGTAGAAAGTTAGGTCAAATCATTTTAAAAGCATAT